GGTGGGGCTTGTGGTGGCCTTGGAGCCCGGGAGGAGGTGCACGCGCTTTGATCGGTCAGGACCAGAACATGTGGGTCTGGCGGCAAAGATTGCATCTCAGCCTCATGTGTGAGGGCACAGCCCCTTGATCTTTATTAACAGGAGAGACACCCTAAATGTGCGTCTTGATTGTCCATTGGGAACGAGCGGGAATGGGTTGGTTGTTTCTGCGCTCCTCTCAAGCAGGAAGCAAAACTAATGCTTTGAATCAACAGATCCAGAGACAATGGCCCCGACGGGATGGAGCCTGAAGGCGTCATCGAGGTGAGACTACAACTTTCTGCCACTACCCTGCCTTATGCGTTTTCTCTCCTATTCAATCCCCCGCTTTACATGTCTGAAGTAAACAGGTACCTCCTTATAGAGACAGTGACCTCAGACATCTAGAATGAGACAGACGGCAGACATGGGGTGGAGTGGCTGCGGCTTTTGTGTAAACACATGCTACTATCTTCCTGAGTTTTCATTTCTTTGTATCCCACAGAGTAACTGGAATGAGATTGTGGATAGCTTTGATGACATGAATCTCTCAGAATCCCTCCTCCGTGGTATTTATGCCTATGGTTTTGAGAAGCCCTCTGCCATCCAGCAGCGAGCCATTCTTCCTTGTATCAAGGGTAAGAATTGTCAGGATAGATTTGTACTGTCCCTGACCTGGTGGTGGGCATGGCAACTACAGGGGAACAATTTATTTACACTGCTTCCTTGGTTCTTGGATTTAGTTTATGTCGGTATCTAGGTCATGCCTTGGATACAGACAGGAGTTGGTGTTTCCAGTTAGTTCATAGGCACTTTAATTTTTAATGTTTTGTGTCTAGCTCAAGTGGGTGTGGTATAAGTTCATAATGTTCTGGTACCCTGGACTTTGTCACAATATCTGGGTGACAAAAATTTGAGGCCCTCCCCTAACATTGTTTGCAACCTTGTTTCCTTATGGATACCATGATATCCCTACTGTCTGTCAATGAGCCCACGGTGCAAGAACATTTACCGCATGTAATTCTTGATCTGATTGTAGGTTATGATGTGATTGCTCAAGCCCAGTCTGGGACTGGGAAAACAGCTACATTTGCCATATCAATTCTGCAGCAGATTGAGTTAGATCTTAAGGCCACTCAGGCTTTGGTTCTGGCCCCCACTCGTGAGTTGGCTCAGCAGGTAAGAGTGGCTTCTTTCCTCCTTAATTGACTAGTTTCAGAATGACACTTCAGTGCATTTTCTGGCACTGCTGGCAGTTAAAAACATGTTCCGGAATTGGTAAATAAAATGGGTTGGTAGCTTCTAGAGCTGTTGATTTGTTGGGGTAATTATCAAATCTTTTTCTGTCAGTAGAACCCACTTCCTTTGGCATAAAGTGAAGTGGAATGCAGCTGGCTGGGTAGCAGGGCCAGCTATTTTATGAAGAAACCCTGGCAATGGGCAAAGAGACACCTTGGTGGTGGTGATGTTCTTATATGAGCCAGGGGCAGATCAGGTGGCAGTCCTTTGTTCATCCTAGCTTGATGCCTGACTTGGTGGCCAAAGCTGTTTCATGCCTAGGGCACATAAAATCCTGCTGCCTCTTGGTTACTAATGTTTAAACCTAGTGATTATTCTGAAGATCTGGGTGCTGGGGTAAGCAAGGAGTCCTGTTTGTCCGTGTCATGGGTGGGGGGGTTGTGTTTTGTTTGTATGCAGGCTGAGGGTGTAGCTCAGTAGTGGAATGCTTACTTGCCCAATAAGGGAAGTCTTTGGTTCTGTGGCAGGGATATATAATAAACATGTTGCTTACATTGTTGTGTTCATAATCCCAGCCTTTGGAATGTGATGGCAGGATGGAGCCTGTGAGTTAGTTCTAAGCCATAAGGGCTGGCGTGGCCTGGCTTGGTATTTTAGAGGGTTTTGTGTAGGATGGAAAACTTAACTGTTAGCCTGTGTTCAGAAACAAGGATTCTGCCATTTGTGTGTGGGGGGGTGTCTTAAGGAGAGTTTTAGATAAATGGATTAAAGGGGAAAGTAACAAACTTCCAGGTGTATATAGCCGAAGCTAACTTAGTTGTCTTTTGTTTAGATTCAAAAGGTGGTCATGGCATTAGGAGACTACATGGGTGCCTCTTGTCATGCCTGTATTGGAGGCACTAATGTGCGTGCTGAGGTGCAGAAGTTGCAGATGGAAGCTCCCCATATCATCGTGGGCACCCCTGGCCGGGTGTTTGATATGCTTAACCGGAGATACCTGTGTGAGTGCCATTTTACAGTTGTCGCACTTTCCTAGGATGTTAGTTGCTCTGTGATGAACCCCATGCGTGTCATCTGAGCCCAGCTTCCCTGTTGCCTTAGCCCAGGTAGTGTTCTACTTACCAGGACTATTTTCTGGCCTGGCAGGGAGGCCTTAGGCAAAGGATCAATCCTTATATTCTGAGAGCAGACTGCTCCTTGCCTGTCCCTTTACTAAGGGACTTAATTAAATGTTTCACATTTCTCTTATTATGTGTTGGTATCTTTTCTGTCTTCCTAGCCCCCAAATACATCAAGATGTTTGTACTGGATGAAGCAGATGAAATGTTAAGCCGTGGGTTCAAGGACCAGATATATGATATATTCCAAAAGCTCAACAGTAACACACAGGTAAGCTGCTGTCTTCATAGGATAACCCATGGCTTGGTTGTGATGTGAGGAGGACAAGCAACCCTTATTGCCATCCACTTTTCTCTCCCCAACTAGGTAGTTTTGTTGTCTGCTACAATGCCCTCAGATGTCCTTGAGGTGACCAAGAAGTTCATGAGAGACCCCATTCGGATTCTTGTCAAGAAAGAAGAGTTGACCCTGGAGGGTATCCGTCAATTCTACATCAATGTGGAAAGAGAGGTGGGGCCTAGTGCAGGAGGCGGACCTGGTAGTAAGTTGTTGGGTATAGCCCCTGACTGATGTTTCCGGATCTCCAGGAGTGGAAGCTTGACACATTGTGTGACTTGTATGAAACCCTGACTATCACCCAAGCAGTAATCTTTATCAATACCAGAAGGAAGGTGGATTGGCTCACTGAAAAGATGCATGCCCGGGATTTCACTGTTTCCGCCATGGTAAGTTTTCTCAGATCTTCTAAGTAGCTGTGTGTGCTTGTGTTTTAAGCATAGAATGCCAAAAGCCTTGTGCTACTTGTTTTCTAGCATGGAGATATGGACCAAAAGGAACGAGATGTGATCATGAGGGAGTTCCGGTCTGGTTCTAGCAGAGTATTAATTACCACTGACCTGTTGGTGAGTAGAGGCCTGTTTCAGGAAAAGCAAGAGGGGTGGGAGGAGTTGAGTCCAAGGTGATTCCCTCTCCAAGGGGCTGACTAGTGCCCCTTTCAGGAACGTAGCAACTTGGAAGAAAACCTGGCATGCCTGAGGTCTCTGGGGGAACAAGAGATGCTTGTTTGTTGCCTTTCCCTGCCTTGGCTGCCTACATGTATTCCTAAATCAGTTGGACAGATTGTACCCTCTGACAGTTCTGTGATCTTTCTTGACCTAGGCCAGAGGCATTGATGTGCAGCAGGTCTCCTTAGTCATCAATTACGACCTTCCCACCAACAGGGAAAACTACATCCACAGGTAAGTAAGGGTCTGCAGTGCCAAATACCCAAGCGCTGAAATCCAAATGTCATCCTCTTTCCCCATTCCATTATTATCCCTTTTTGCCCTTAGAATTGGTCGTGGTGGTCGCTTTGGCCGTAAAGGTGTGGCTATCAATATGGTGACAGAAGAAGACAAGAGGACTCTTCGAGACATTGAGACATTCTACAACACCTCCATTGAAGAGATGCCCCTCAATGTTGCTGACCTCATTTGAGGGGCTGTCCTGTTACCTGGCTCTAGCCAGGGTTCAGTCCTGGGGGGCTGAGGAACAGCTGGAGGGGGGAGGGAAGGGAGCCAAGGGATGGACATCTTGTTTTTGTTTTTGTTTTGTTTTTCTCTCTCTCTCTCTTTGAATAAATGTCACTTTTTGAGGCAAAAAGAAGGAACCGTGAACATTATAGATACCCTTTTCTTTGGGGTAGGTTCTGCCCCAGGCGCCGTCTCCTTCCCCCAACCCCAAAACACTAATCCATTCCCCTAACCTGATTCTAAAGACTTTCCTACTACCCCAGCCAAATCTCCAAAAGTGAATCAAGGGGCTAAAACATGTCTGGCCTCATTTGCTGGACCAAATCTACAGGGAGAGTCCCTGCATGAAGTTGTCCAGGGAATTGTCCCCAGGTGAGGGGAGCAGGGGAGAGAAAATGGTAGCCATTTTTACATTGTTTTGTATAGTATTTATTGATTCAGGAAACAAACACAAAATTCTGAATAAAATTACTTGGAAACTGCCTGTTTGGGCTTCTTGTTTGTTCCTCTCCCACCTGCTGTTTGTGTGGGTCAGCTCCTATAGTGGTTCATTACTGTGTTGTTGCCTCCTGCTGGTGTTCAAAATATATCAAGTGATCCACTATGTACTGAAAACTGGTACTGACAGTACAGGACCCTTCACAAAACGTTAGTCACGAGTATCACATGATACTTGAGGAACTGAACACAGTAATGGGGTCAAGAAGTCAGCAAAACCTAGTTCTGCTTAAGATCCCAAAGTGCCCAACACATGTGGATGCTGACTGCCTATCTTTGGGGGTGAGGATTTCCCTGTAGCTCTTGGTATCATGGAACTAAAGTGAAGACCAGGAGATGCACACGGGTGGGGCAGGGTTCCTAACCAATGCGGAAAGGGCCTCCTAATTAGTTTGCTTGCCTTGTAAACTCAAGTAGAGCAAGTTTTGCTTAAGATCCTATGAGTCAACTGCCTCATTTTTCACGTGGTTGCTAAGATTTTGTACCTCCCACTGCCACTGCCAATCACAGCTTAATTGTGAGAAGAGCGACTAAAGTGAGTGGCTGGAGCTGAGGTGTCTGAGTCAGGTTCTGGGGTGGGATTGTCTTAAGGGAAGTGCAACTTTCATTTCCTCTTCAAGAGAAGGCAGAGGTTATTGGGTTGAGGAAGGAGCTGGTACAGCCCAGCTGGACTCTTGAGCTGCTCTACCATGAGGTATGAAGTGCTTTGCTTGGTCTTGCTGGGACTGCTTGTAGGTAAGGAGAATGGAGAGGGGAGGGAGGGAGCTCCTGGGCAGGAACCTGTACCTGGGTAGCCAACCGATTTCTTGCTGAAAGCCCAAGGAACAGGGGAAGACTGTCCTCACAAAAAAGCTGCTACTCTCCTGCCATCCTTCACGATGACACCTACAGCCACAGAAAGCACAGCAAGCTCTACTACCAGCCACAGGCCCACTACCACCAGTCACAGAAATGTCACAGTTCTTCCAACAAGTAATAGCACCGCTACCAGCTCTGGACCCACAACTTCCACTCACAACCCTGCTGTGACCACCAGTCATGGGAATGCCACAGTTTACCCCACCACAAACAACGGCACTGCTCCTAGTCCAGGGTTCTCTACCATCGGCCCTCAACCTGGACCAACTCCACCCTCTCCAAGTCCTAGTCCAGGCTCCAAGGAGGCTCTTGGAAACTACACATGGACTAATGGCTCCCAGCCCTGTGTTCAGCTCCAAGCACAAATTCAAATTCGAATCCTGTACCCAACTCAGGGTGGAGGAAAGGTAAAGCTAAGGTAGTGGGGCTTAAAGGGGACAGGGGTAAGTTCTGAGGTGTTTCAGGGGGCAAGGGGTGAGTTCTGGGGTGGTTCAGGAGAAAGAGCAGAGGATATAAAAAAATACTGTATGACATAGCCATGTAATTTCAGACTCACTATTCTTTCACTTCTGTAGGCCTGGGGCATTACTACATTGAATCCCAACAAAACCAAGGTCCAGGGGGGCTGTGACCATGCCTATCCCCACCTGTCTCTCTCATTTCCTTATGGGCGGCTCACCTTTGGATTCAAACAGGTAGACAGCTTTTGTCTTCATCCTTTACTCTCCTGTGCCCCATACCTACACCCCTAAGCTGCGTCCTTTGCTCTGTGGACATAATGCCACTGTCCCTGCTGCTCTAATCCTTTCTGTTCACCTCAAGGACATGGAGCAGGGTACAGTCTACCTCAACTACATGGCAGTGGAATACAATGTGTCCTTCCCACAGGCAGCACGTGAGTAACTTCCCTTCTCATTATCACACTAGCTAGTTTGGGGGGGGGGGGGGGGGGCGGCTCGACAACAAGACTCAGGAGTTGTGAGTGGACTGAATTGACTCTTCATTAATAACTTCTTCAGAATGGACATTCTCAGCTCAGAATTCATCTCTTCGAGAGCTCCAAGCTCCCCTGGGCCAAAGCTTCTGTTGCAGAAATACAAGCATAGTTCTTTCTCCAGCTGTTCACCTTGACCTACTCTTCCTGAGACTACAGGCTGCTCAGCTTCCCAACACTGGACACTTGGGGCCATGTAAGACCTCCCTACCTCTTCCTTCCTGGGAGTCTCCCACTGCACAGGAAACCTCTTCCCCAGAGCCCTCTTTCTTTAACAAGACCGCCTATTCCCCCTCTACTTTGCTCTGAATTATGGGGTTGAGCACCTCATCAACCTCCTTCCATCATCTCCTTTTTTCTTCCTCCTACCTTTATCCCATCCACTGCTGCTGGAATCCCTAATAATCCCATCTTTCTACCAGGTTTCTCTTGCACCAGTGACCAATCCCTCTTGCTGCCTCTCATCATTGGCCTGGTCCTCCTTGGCCTCCTCACCCTGGTACTTATTGCCTTCTGCATTACCCGAAGACGGCAATCAACCTACCAGCCCCTCTGAGCATTTGCTCCAATTCACTCCGGGCCACTAAGGAACATCCTCATTTCTTCAACTTACAACTGACTCAAAGTTATTCTCCTTCTCTGTCTTTAAGAACAAAATCAGAGATTTTGTAATGGGTGGTTAATAAACATGAATGGGTGTCCCACTTCTGATAACAACAAAAAAAGGATATGAAAACTTTATGAAATCTTTGTCCTTGGCTTCCCTTGCCCTGCCAGGATTAAAAGCCACGAGTTTCTTGTCATGTGCCTTCCTGTGCCTTCCCATGGTTGAGTCACTAGGAGACAACTGGCAGGAAGGGATGAAAACACCAGAGTAACCAAATGCCTTTAAGGGGTTCATCCTCCAGTGCCTGGCACAGCTGCTGGTGAAGCTGCCAGACTCCCTTCTGGGGCCAGTGACTAGCCATTCCTTTAACATGATATGATGGATCAGTCCATCCTGGCGTCCTGTTCCTACCCTCTAGCTAGAGGTACAAACACAGCCAAAATATGAGTAGGTGGCTGTGTAATTTCATTTCAAAAAGGGTGATTGCCAGTGGCTACCGAGCAATGAGTCCCTGTCCATTGTGGCCAGGGCTAGACTCACTGAAGAGCCCATTGCAAAGAACTGCACCAATCTGGAAGCAGTGGGTACCCTAGGAACAACTTCAGGTCCAGCAAACATACCCTTGATGCCCGGGTACCCAGAGGGCGAGAGGGTGGTGCCACTTGCAGCGCAGCCCACGTCCAGATTCAAAATAGGCCAGATGGCTACACACTGTACCAAAGCCAAGTATAAACTCTACTATTTTGTTTTGTTTTTTTGAGACAGGGTTTTTCTGTGTAGCCTTGGCTGTCCTGGAACTCACTCTGTAGACCAGGCTGGCCTCAGAGATCCTCCTGCCTCTGCCTCCAAGTGCTGGGCTTAAAGGCCTGTGACACCAGTCAGGCAAGTTTCACTATTTATAGTAGGGCATATTGCAACCAACAGAAGTCATAGATGGGTGCCATTCCAGTTGTAAGAGCCCCGTGAGGTTATAGAAATTCTTGGTGGACTGGAGCCCTGCACAGCTGAGAGGTACATGTGGCAGAACCGGCCCAGCACTGCCCCTCCAAGAACAAGGAGCAGAGAAACTATGAGTGCCCTTACAGCCTGAGAGCCAGGGGCACTGCATCAGGAGAGTCGGGGCACTGGGCGGTGGAATGCAGCCTGAAGTGACCCTATCTAGGTGCCATTTCCCAAACAAAAGACATTTGGGGACCTTTTGCCTGCACCCTCTGAACCATCCCCAGGGGTCCAGCCTAGACACGGCAGAGACTGAGAGCTGAGTCAGGGGCGGTTCTCCTGTAGCTGAAGTCGCTCTTCTGCTCCAAACCACCTTCCAACAAAACAGAGGAAGAAGCAGGGGACTAGGAGGGATGCCCAGCTCAGAATGGCCTCTTTCCGGTGCCATTCCCTCCGGAGATACCATGAGGAGAAGAAGAAACTGCGGCGCCCCCGACTAGCGCCATTTTGAAGACTCGTAATCTTTTCCTTTCCAACTTGAAATACAAAGTTAACCGAGAGAAGACAAGATGGCGCATACGCAGAAGGGACAGAGACGGGCGGAGGGATAAGGCTTTCTTTCAGAACTGATAGCATAAACAAAAGCGCGCAAGTCCGAGCCGCGCAGGCGTAAAGCTCTGACACGCTTTAAAATTCGAACGTCAAGGCGCGTACAAAATCCAGTCCGAGATGTATCTCAGGTTCCAGAAGCAGGGTGGCGTAAGAAGGGGCGGTGCTGCCGTGTCCCGGGGGAGAATGAGGCGGAGCGAACGGAGCGCGCGTGCGCGGCCTGGGTCAATGGCGGGCGGGCAAGCCTGGCGGAAGCAATAGTTCCAACATGGCCGGTGAGGCGGACGGACCGTTCAAACGAGTGCTGGTGCCAGTTCTCTTACCTGAGAAATGCTATGACCAACTTTTCGTCCACTGGGACTTCCTTCATGGTGAGTTTTATTCAGCCTTCAAAGTCTACTTCAAGTAACCTTGGACCGTAATTTGGCGAGAGTAGTGCAAGTGACAGGTGGCTAACATCACGCGAAGCTGGGCGGAAGGCGCTTCTGAAGAGGGCGGAAGTGTTCTGGGCCCTGCATAGAGAAGGTGCCATATTTGGGCATGAGGGGGAGTCGCCCGAAAAAGTAATCAAATTTGTGTTTTACAGTCTGGAAAGTCTGTACCCTCCCCCCACCCCTTCTGAGCTGGGGATCGAACTCAGGGCCTTCTTCGTACCACTCTGAACCAAGTTCTATCCCCCAGCCTGGAAAACGTAAACATTTTATAAAACAAAATTAAAATTCCAGCCAGGAGTGTGTAGACTCACTCCTTTCATCCCAACACTGAACTGACAGAGGCAAATGTTTCTTTTATTTGTTTTCTTGCTGTTGGTTTTTTTGTTTTTTTTCGAGACCAGGTTTCTCTGTATTGCTTTGGTGGCTGTCCTGGATCTTGTTTTGTAGACCAGGCTGGCCTTAAACTCACAAGAGATCCACCTGCCTCTGCCCACCCCCAACCTCCAGTGGCTGGAATTAAAGGCTTATTCCATCAATGCCTGGCCCTTGTTTGTTTTTTGCTTTGTTTTGTTTTTCGAGACAGGGTTTCTCTGTGGCTTTGGAGGCTGTCCTGGAACTCTCTTGTAGACCAGGCTGGTCTCCAACTCACAGAGATCCACCTGCCTCTGCCTCCCAAGTGCTGGAATTAAAGGTGTGCGCCACCAACGCCCAGCGTTTGTTTGTTTTTAAAGATAAATCTCACCCAGCCCCAGCTTTTAGAACTTGGTGTGTAGTGCAGGCTGCCGTGAACTAGCAGCCGTCCTTCCTGGGCCACCAGAGCTCTGGGAATACAGGGATATTCCCACTACCTTCCTTCCCTCCTGTAACACCCTGGGCAAGCTCTTGGCCCAGGGTTACAGGAGCCATCAGAGCCTTTGGTAAGTGCATCTGTCTGCTCTAGTCAGGTCATATACTCAGAGGACACTGTTCTAGTGCATTTTGGAATGCAATGGTGAGACTCCCTGCCGGGGCAAATTCCCTCCAGGTCAAGGATTCAATGTTAGAGGAACTGCCAGGAACAACGACCCACCCTTACTTTTAATCCCAGCACTTGGGAGGCAGAGGCAGGAGGACCACTGAGTTCAAGGACATCTTAGTCTACTGGGTGAGTTCTAAGATGGGTAGGACTACACAGAGAAACCTTGCCTCAAGAAACCAAAATAAACAAAAAATAAATAAATGATAGACTCGGGAGGCAGAGGCAGGAAGATCTCTGTGAGTTCGAGGCCAGCCTGGTCTACAGAGTGAGTGCCAGGATAGATAGGCTCCAAAGCTACACAGAGAAACCCTGTATTGAAATAAATAAATAAAAATAAATAAATAAATAAATAAATGATAGAGATAGTGGATGAACAGGGATAAAAGCAAGCCCTGAAGAGTAGGCCACTGGATAAGGGCTAGGAACAACCAGAAGGTTCAGGAATGTATTCTGTGATTTGTCTTTGGAAGGAGGCCATCTGAAGTGGGTTATTGAGAAGAGAGAAAAAAAGACTCAGGGAACTCTTGAGCAATGCCTGTGTAACTGAAAAGCAATGGCAGACATGCCTGGCAGTCTACATGCTTATTTGCAACTGGTAAGATGGCTGCAAGGCTGGTGACCTGAGTTCAATTCCTGGAAACCACAAAAAGGCCCACAAAGTTGTCCTCTGACCGTCATACATGTACCTATGTGTTCACACACGGTATATACATATTTATATAGATTGTGTTTTTTTTTAATTATGTGTGTGTGTGTGTGTGTGCCTGTGAATGCAGGGGCCTGAAGATGCCAGAGGCACAAGATATCACCGGAACTGAAATTACAGGCCACCACCCAACATGGGTGCTGGAAATGCAATTCCCTGAAAGAATAGGTGCTCTTCTTAACTACTAAGCGATCTTTCCAGCCCCATATTTTCAAAATTCATTTTTGTTGTGTTTGTTGTGCACATCTACTTATACATGCTCAGGTTATCAGACTTAGCATCAGAGCCATCTTGCTGGCACAATAATTTTTTGTCTGTTTTACATGCATTGGTGTTTTGTTTTGCCTACCTGCATGTCTGTGTGAGGGTGCCAGATCCCCTAAAACTGGAGTTACAGTTGTGAACTCCATATGGGTGCTGGGAATTGAACCTGGGTCCTCTGGAAGAGCAAGCAGTCAGTGCTTTTAACCACTGAGCCATCTTTTCAGCCCCTTATTTTTACTTTTTTGAGACAGGGTCTCTCTACAGAGCTCTAGCTGTCCTAGAACTCACTATGTAGACAAGCTGGCTTTGAACTCACCAAGATCTGTCTGTCTGGGCCTGTGCCATCATACCTGGCAATAGTTTTTAAATATTTAAGACAGAGTCTCACTGTATAATCCTGACTGGCTTTGAACTCAGAGTTTAAATGAAATTAAAGGCATGTACCACAACACACAGCCCTAAGGACTTTTTAAAAAATTTAGTAGTGTATAGTGTTCTGCCTGCATACCAGAAGAGGGCACCAAATCTCATAGATGGTTGTAAACCACTATGTGGTTGCTTGGAATTGAACTCAAGACCTCTGGAAGAACAGCCAGCGAGTGCTCTTAACCTCTGAGCCATCTCTCCAGTCCCCCTAGTGACTTTTTAAAAAGACAAATTTTTAGTACATTTTTATTAGGCTCATGCATGGAAGTCAGAAGACAAATTTTGGAATTGGTTCTCTGCTTCTACCATGTGGATCCTGGATTGAACTCAGATCATTAGCTATCCTGTTAGCCCTAAAAAGTATATTATTTCAATGTGTATGTATAGGAAATGGAAGGTGGAGTAGGAAGGAAGGCATGTATTTACGTTGAAGCCATTCTGGCAACACACCTAGTCTGGATGTAACATGTTTGCATCAGGAGGATCCCTGCCCCATCATTCCCACCTGTCCCCTAAACAGAGAGTCACTGGGGTGGTGGTCATGCCAAGGGGAGGGGGAGGGAAGAGCTCATAAGAGCATGGCAAACCCTCACCTGGGTTCCGAAGGCCTCTTTGCTTACTTCTCTCTCCACAGTTCCCTGCCTCAAGATTCTCCTCAGCAAAGGCCTTGGACTGGGCATCGTGGCTGGATCACTTCTGGGTATGTATAGTTCCTTCTTTCTGTCAGAGTAGGGGGGGGGTGGCTGCTGGGAAGCTAATGCCAAGGGCTCGGTGCTTTAGCTCTTTCCTCAGCCATGCCGTTCTTCCTCTAGTAAAGCTGCCCCAGATATTTAAAATCTTGGGCGCCAAGAGTGCCGAAGGACTGAGTCTCCAGTCAGTAATGCTGGAGCTGGTAGCATTGACAGGAACTGTGATCTACAGCATCACCAACAACTTCCCCTTCAGGTGAGGGCCCCACTCTTCATCCCCAAGGCCAAACCCCAAATTCTTTTTTATTACAGTTATTAATTGGGGGGTGTCAGAGAACAACTTGTAGGAGTTGGTTCTCTCCTTCCAGCGCATGGATTCTGGGGCTGAAGTCAGGTGGCCAGGCTTGGAGTCAAGCACCTTTACCTGCTGAGCTACTTCACCAGTCCTAGCACACACAGCTCAATAAGTGTTGAGAACACTTCAGCCCTTCCAGTTTAGTCACACCGATGGAAGTAGTGATAAAGTGAGCATTCTCTAACCCAGCCAGGCATGGTGGGATGGCTATGGAGGCTCTCCAGGCCTTCCTCTTTCCCTCCCCCTCTCGCCTCTGCAGCTCTTGGGGTGAAGCGCTGTTCCTGACACTACAGACAATTACCATCTGCTTCCTGGTCCTGCACTACAGAGGAGACACTGTGAAAGGTGCGGGGATGTGCTGGAGAGCGGGCACTGGGTCTTGGGAACCTTGCTGGGGACTCAGGAGGCTCAAGAGGGCTCCTTGTCTCCCTGACCCCCAGGAGTTGCTTTACTTGCCTGCTATGCGACACTCCTGCTGGCTCTGCTTTCTCCACTCACGCCTCTGGCTGTAGTCACCATGCTCCAGGCCTCCAATGTACCTGCTGTGGTGGTGGGCAAGGTGGGTACTCGGAAGTGAAACGAGGTGTGTGTGGTGGCGGCGGGATGGAACCCCAAAGTATGCAGTATTGGTTTTCGAGAATGAGGGATTAGTGATGGGAACACAGGGGAGGTTCAGATGACAGAACCAAACAAAAGTGTGGATTTCTCCTCTAGTTGCTCCAGGCAGCCACCAACTACCACAACGGGCACACAGGCCAGCTTTCAGCTATCACAGTGTTTATGCTGTTTGGGGGCTCCTTGGCCAGAATCTTCACTTCTGTTCAGGTGAGTGCACCTCTGCCTTCTAGAGGGCACTAAAACCTCATACTCCCAGCTGGAACCTTTCTAGATCTGTTGTCTCTCCTTAACAGGAAACTGGAGACCCCCTCATGGCTGGAGTCTTTGTGGTCTCTTCCCTCTGCAATGGCCTCATTGCCGCCCAGGTCCTCTTCTACTGGAATGCAAAGCCTCCCCACAAACATAAAAAGGAGCAATAGTGCTGAGCTAGCTTCTAGAATCATTCATTCCACTTCCATTCAGCCACTCAACTTGAGGGTCTTCCCCACTTGACGTGGTCTGCTGGTGCAACTCAGTCGTCCTCCATTCCTGCATAACTGCAACCTCCTGAGCCAGGGTTTGTGTAAAGAGTAAAAAGCTTTTCCAAGTCCTGTATTCACTCGTTTCACCAATGGCTGAGGTCCCTCCTTTATAAGCAGCTATTTTGTTATTGGAGCAGACGCCTTGCCTTGTCCACTTACCTTCTTTCAGGATGGAGGACAGAGCCTGGACAAATGTGGTTGGGACCTTGTGGCTGCGTCCCTCTGCCAGCTGGTTGGGACAGTCTATTGGACCCTAGTTCTGAAGGTGGGGGAGGGGAGAATGACTCAGGTAAAGGCCTCAGGGTGGAGTAGGGAGGTTCCTGCTGTGGCAGGTCCACGAAGGGTGTGGAGAAGGCACAGGTTGCTGTTGTAGTGGGAATACAGATGGGACAATAAAGACTCGGAGACGTGCTTTCATTGTATAAAATTGTGTTTAGTGTGGTTTTGTACATTCTGGCTCCTTGTTCCTCTGAACTAGAAAGGGATTGGCCTGTGGGGTTGACCCTGGATGTCCCAGCCAGTTAATGGGGGGTTACAGACATTGGGCACCAGCAAGAGAAGTGTTGTATGGAGAGGTAGAGCCTGGGGGTAGATAGGTAGGAAAAGAGGGAATTAGCTCCTCCTGGAGCCTAGGATGACTCTGAGGGAGAGAGCACGGCGAGGAGGCCTCCGGTCTACAATGGGAAGCGCTGTAGAGAGAAACATGGGGTTTGGAGGTTATACTTCTGGGTTGGCGAGATTGGGCAGTGTCCCCATCTCTCAGTAGGAGACTAGTCTGACCAGTTTGCGACAGGGTTAGAATTTGCTATTCAGCCAGCCATTCTGGGTACAGCAGGCATGGAACAAGACCCTAGGATGGCTTAAAGAGCAAGGTAGCTCTGTTGGGGCATGCTCAGGAGCCGTCTTGCGTGCTGCACGCTGTTTGCTTCTTAGGGCTGCAGGCCAGGAAGGAACAACAGGATGGGCTTGGCCTCTCCTTGCCCCAGGGGCAGGGAGAGGAAGCTGGGTCACACAAGGGCCATCAGCTAGGGGGAAACTGACATTCAGTAGGTAGAACACATTACGCTGAGATGGACAGATCTCTGTCTTGGACTTTCTGAGCCATCCCGCCCAACCTTAGCCTGGTGTGGCTTCTGCTTGGATGGATTGAGGTTGTCCCAACTTAGTCCTCTGGCCTCCATCCCCACCACCCAGCCGCCAGGAAGGGGGTGATGTGGAGTGGTGATGGGGGACAATCAAGCACTCACGTGTAACCTCCAGGCAGGTAGGCTGTGGAATAGTTGGGGGGCTGGTACCCAAAGCCTCTGCTCCCTTGGGTAGTTGTGTACCCTGGTCCCCAGTGTGGGCCACCACCTGCCAGGCCACCTCTTCCTTGGCTGAAGTGGACAGACCCGGTGCCTGAGTTCTTGCTCTTGCGCCGAGGCCGGTACTTGTAGTCGGGGTAGTCGCGTAGGTGGCGGGCTCGTAGACGCTTGGCCTCCTCCACGAAGGGACGCTTCTCTTCCTCGCCCAGCATCTTCCACTGCGCGCCCAGGCGCTTAGAGATCTCAGAGTTGTGCATCTTGGGGTTCTGCTGCGCCATCTGGCGACGCTGAACAGAGCTCCACACCATGAAGGCGTTCATGGGTCGCTTAACCTTCTCTTGAGGAAGCCTCCCAGACGCTCCAGAGCTCCCGGAACCCTCCTGCTCCTGAGGTCCCAAAGGCAAAGAGGCTGTGGGAACCGGAGGCTCCAGGCTCCAAGTCTGGGCCGGTGAGGAGCCCGGCAGCGCCATAGGTTGAGAGTAAAGCGTCTTTGAGAGGTCGTCTTGAATGCCCTCCTCCCAGAGTGAAGACTGGACTCTGAAAATTTGAGTACTTAAGTATCTTCCTGAGTCCTTGAATCAATTCCTTTGCTCCGGAAAGCTGAATGCAGAATCCTTGTCTGGCAGCACCAGGTCCTGTCTCGGAGAGGTAGTGTTCTCTCAAGTCTACCTACTGCCAGTCCCAGTCCCTGTCCCTGACCTCTGCTGCGGCAGGCTCTTCCGTGGGGGCTGCAACTCTGCCTCTGTGAGGCTCTTGGTCTCAAGTTTCCACAGCTGACAAAAAAACGTACCGGTGCCACAGACCTTCCCCACCTGTGCTCAGCCTCGGTAAAAGTGTTTAAAACCTGACTCCTCCCCCAATCCCTCCCATAGGCTCCACAACAGAACGTCCTCAAAAAAAAAAAAAAGAAAAAGAAAAAGAAAAAAAGCTTCTTGGCAAACCCAGGTGTCCTGTTCTTCGCAGCCCAGACACCTCCCCTGGGGCACCACGCCCCCTCTCCACCCAAGGTCTGGATGTCAGGCCTAATGGCCCCAATGGCTACAATTGTCTATCTTCTTAAGCACAAGCACCAGCAATTTAAAGCAAATTCCTTTCCAAGATGGGATCAAGCTTGGGCATCAAATGCCCTCGGGGTCAACCAAACGGAGAATTTAGGAAGGTCTCACTCCCAACTCAATACTTTCTTCCGGCGCCTGTTGTTCCTCAAATCCTGACCTGCCCCAGGGGTAAGAAACTCAAAGAAGATAGGCCATTTTTGTTTTCTGAGTCATTCCAACAGGTGCCTGGGCGGATGAGAACACTCAAGCCACTTCCAGCCCAGAAGATTTCCCCACTGCCACTCAGTTGTGGCAAATTTCATCTTTAAACTCAAACCACGAGGAGGGAGCCAAAGGACTCCGAACCTAGAGATAATACTTTTTAAAAAAAGATTTATTTTGTGTGCATTGGTGTGAAGGTGCCAGATCCCCTGGAACTACTAGAGTCACAGATAGCTGTGAACCGCCATGTGGGTGCTGGAATTGAACCAGGTCCTCTGGATACATACGTTTAAAAAAAGAAATCTTCAAAAAGATCATGGGAGGAGGCACAAGTGCTACCACTTGCAGCATGGAGGTCACAGGACAACTTTCAGAAGTCAATTCTCTCCTTCAAGGGTCGCAAGGTGAAGAGGTAGTAGCTATCTTGGTGGCCCAGCTCAGGTCATGAGTTGGCAAAGGAATTTATTTTTGGTTTTTCCAGACAGGGTTTTTCTGTGTAGCCCTGGCTGTCCTGGAACTCACTCTGTAGATCAGGCTGGCCTCGAACTTACAAAGACCCCACCTGCCTCTGCCTCCTGAGTGCTGGGATTAAAGTTTGCCCCACCACTGCTTAGCCTTCTTAGCTTTTACTACCCTGATATATCTATCTTTTCTTAAAAATGGTAATTATTTGAAACAGGACTGAACCACGATTGGTCTGGAATTCCTTGTGTAGACTAGGCTGGCTTTGAGCTCATAGAGATACATCCTGTTGTTTTTCCAGACAAGGTTTCTCTGTGTAGCTCTGGCTACAATCACTCTGTAGATCAGGCTGTCCTGGAACTCAGAGAGCTGCCTGCCTCTACCTCCTGAATGCTGAGACTAAAGGTGTGAAACACCATCACCCAGCTGATACATATTTCTTGAGGACCCAAGTTCCCTCCATTTTCAGGACACAGCTTCTCTGACAAGGCATTCAGGACATCATCTTTAGGATCACCCTCAACCCTCGGGGTACTGTCCAATATAGGTCTAAGAGTCTCCCAATCCCAGTCACTACCTCATCACCCTTGTGACTCCAAAAGCTGAGAACAGTGATGTGAATTCTGGAGCCAGAAACACAAGTTGACCCTCCTGGATTCTAGAGACCATGCTGAGAGAACCCTATTTTCCCCTCTGAAGAAGGCCCAGCCTGTGCCCCAGGCCACAGATAATCCGATTAAATAGCCTGCCCAGACTCTCAGCTCCCAGCAGCAACAGGTCCAGCTTCAAGCAGCCCTGCCTAGCCTATGACACAGGGTTTAGGAGTGGCCCACTCTATCAAGCAACCAAGGGGAGGGAAGAAACAGAAAGGCCTGGAGTCTAGTCCTCTGGACCAGAAGAATAGCTGGGCAAGGAGAATTAAGTATGCAGCAATTTCCATGCATCATCTTCCTGACACAGAATGAGAAACTAAGAATAGAGAATAGACAACAAGAGCCAGGGAGCAGTGCAGGTCAGTCCTAGAGATCCAAACAGACCAGACTAGGGACAAAGAAGACATGGGAACCACAAGGCCATTGGATTTTTTTATTCTCTTTTTAAATACTGTACAGTGAAAAATAAATACGCCTTCTTATCCACCAGACAAGGTTGTTCCCCCCAACTCCCTGGGGGACCTTGTCACCCCCCTTCATACACACCCCTGGTTCTACTCCAAAACCTTCCCCATGCCTCCCACCCACAAATACCCTCACTATCCCCCCCTTCCACAGTGATGAGGCCCCAGAAATGGGGGGTACAGGATGGGAGGAGGGATAGCAGGGGAGCCCCCCTGAACTGTCAAATCTGGGTGGGTCAAGGAGCACCCCCACCAACAGGCGGAGAACGGGGGTGTTTAGAGGTCGGGGCATTAGAGGATAAAGGCACATCCAGTCTGATAGGGAAGGGGAGGCTCCCCTCACCCTGGGGGGGAAGGGTGGACAAGAGGGAGGGGGGGCCCCCCTTACACACCCCTCCACTAGCTCCTGGAGATTGGGGGGACCCAAGCTGCTGTGCCACCCCCCTCCCCCGTAGATAAGAGCAGCTCCAGCGCAGGTCAGTTGGACCCATGAGGGTCATGGTGGTGGGCAGCAAGCGAGATGGAGAAAGGAGGGATGTGGACTGGAGGTTTATGAAACCCCATTCACCAAGCTACCCAACTCCAAGGGGGCAGAGAGCTCCCCGTTCTCCGAGGGGCCCTTGGGAAGCCTGCTGACAGAGTCGCCCTGAAGAGGAAACAGGATGAGAACAAAAAGAAAGCAGTTCATCAGTGCACCAGGTGTAGGCATTCCTTCTCACTACAGACACCTGGCGACCAGAGGCTGTTCCCTATCTATCTCCCTTTGCTCTGATTGCTGTGAGGCTTGCCTTCTGTTAGTGCCAGCTCTGCTCCATCCTCAGCTTAACCCGAACTCCCAGACACAGCCAATTCAACAACTCACATATTTCCTAGGGAAGTTTTCTATGTCCCCCTCCAAAAAAAGAATGGGGTAAGCTGTATTGCAACTGCCTACCTTCTGTCCTGAAAGAGAATCCTCTGAGGGTTTCGTGCGTTCCAGAGGTGGCCGCTGGCGGCTCTGAGACTCTGCCCGTGAGATGTAGTCTGCCACAGTCACTAGGAAAGGAGGAGAGGATCAAGACTTTCAGGAATACAGGTATCCATCTCCACTGTTCCCATTAAACCCAACCCTGAGCATGAGGCACCCCACTCTTAGCTGCAGAGAGGCTCTAATCCCCTAGTGTCAGCTGACCTGGTTGGCGGTCTCCGCTGATGGACCCATCAGTTCGATTACCACGATTGCGGCGACGGCGGCTTCGATTCCGTCGCTGGGGTCTTGATTCATCTTCTGTGGAGTAAAGAAAAGTCACACACCCATCCTCTCCTTCTTCACTCTTTCTTCTCACACCACCTCCAGGAACCGCGCTCGCTCCTCACCCAGGCCATTCTCTGTCATGTTAGGACCATCCGATTCCAGGCCTCCATCCATGACTGTCCTGTCTTCATCAGTACGACGGCGGCGGGAACGGCGACGGCGGGCACTTGCTGGAGGGGGTTCACCAGGCTCTGAATCAACTGGGGGCTCTGGTTCAGATGTGTCCAATAGGCTGTAAGGGTTACTGTCTGGATCCTTTAGCACTGAGAGGCAGGAAAGGGACTGGAGTCAGGTGACCACTATTTTCTCCTTTGGGCCCACTTACATGACCCCCAACTCTCTGATACCTGAGCTAATAGATGACGAGTTGTATCTTCTGGGAGGCCGGGGAACAGGCGGGGGTCCCCTTCCCCGGCCCCCAATCGGCCGCCTCCGGCTCTCTTCTCCACGGTTTGGGGGATCTCGATCTCGGTCACTGGGTCCAGCTCTATGAAGCTCTTCTCTCTTTTCTGACTCTGTCTCAGAAGCCGTGGATGGGTCTGAGCTGGGGCCTGAAGGGCAGGCAGCACAGAAGGCTTTACTCAGAGATACTGGTCTTGCCCTAGGGGTCCACCACCTCCTACACTCACAAGCACCCAAGCCACAGCTTTCCAAGTTTCCACCCAAACATCTCCTCCTCCACTGCCCCCACGGCTGTCTCACCATAGGCAGGGCCACCAGTCCTCCGGCCCCGGCCCCGGCCCCCATAGCTGCCCCCATATGTTCGGGTCGTGTGCAAGGAAGAAGAGGAGCTTTCATCTGTGGTATAGCCAGCCTTGTCACTGCCACCACCACCACCACCCCGTCCACTCCCAGGAGGACGGAAGCCCAGCCCAATCTGCCGAAGCTGTTCATCAATTTGCAGTCTCTCCAAGCGAAGCTGTTCAACCTCCTGGTTGGAAAGACAGACAACACAGGAGAATTAAAATGGATGGACAGTCCACTCCTTCATGCTTTTCTACCCATATGGCCCCTGTGTAGCTAAGCTTCTGGGACTACAAAAAGGAAGACAAAGACTTAAAAAGAATAGGACACAGCCAGGACACAGCCTCAGAGCCAAAATATCAACCAACAGTCCTGTTCTACAAAAAGACAAACCAGGTAGGACAGCCCCAAAAATTATATACCAGCAGTTCTTGCCCCTTGTTACCCCAGTTTGTCTGGCATGGCTTCAAACATGGGTACCTGAAGGTAGGAGAGGTGGTACTCTAGCAGTGCCTGGGCATTGCTGATATTCTCTCGGGTGCCAACAAATATGAAGGGAACCATTCCCTAGAGAACAGACAAAGGAAAGATTACAAGTCAGTTAGCTATGATGGCATACACACAATCTTAGCACTCAGGAGGAGCAGGAATTCAAAGCCACCCTCAGCTACACAGTGAAGGTAATTAAGCACAACCTAAGCTACATGAAATTCTGTCTCAATGCCCACCCCACCAAATGCCAGGCACGGAGGCACATGACTTCAGTCCCAACACTGGCAGGCAGATCTCTGTGAACTGAGTTTAAGGTCTGTGTGGTTCACAAATTAAGTCCAGGCCAGCTAGAGCTATACAGTGAGCCCCTATTCAAAAAGAAAGAAAATCAGAAAGGAAAAGATTAAAATGTTAAGCCCACTCCTCAAACAGACAACAGGATCAGTCTACCACAGCAAAGGAAAGGTTGTGTGTTCCACCCTCTAGAGGTTCCCAGCCCTCAGAAGAAAGTACCTCCTACTTCTGAAAAACAATTTCTAGGCCTCTGTGCCCCATACCTCCTCCCGGGGGTTCTTCTTGTCGTTATCACCTTCAACACGAACCCTCACCACACCAGACTTATCCACAATCTCCTGGATCACTTTCCCATTCTTTCCAATCACTTTGCCTAAATGAATAACAGAGGAATTGGGCTTTTAATTTTTGTTATTTTCAAAGAAATAAAAGTAAAAGTCTTCTATAGCCACCTCGCTACATATATTGTACTTATTCATTCTCCTGCTTCTAGGAATCTTATAGCTACGGTCGACAGGCGGTGGTAGTGAACACCTTTAATCCCAGCACTCGGGAGGCAGAAGCAGGCAGATCTCTGTGAGTTTGAGACCAGCCTGATCTACAAGAGCTAGTTCCAGGACAGCCTCCAAAGCCACAGGGAAACCCTGTCTCGAAGGAAAAAAAAAAAAAAACAAAAAAAAAAACTACAGTCTATTGGGCAGCGGTGGAAACACGCCTTTAATCCCAGGACCTGGGAGGTAGAGGCAGGCAGATCTCTGAGTTGGAGGTCAGCCTGGTTCACAAAGTTCACAAAGTGAGTTTCAGGTCAGCCAAAGCTGAAGTAAAGAGTGAAACCCTGTCTTGGAAAGAGGAAAAAGACAGGGAAAAAAAAAAAAAAAAGCTACAATCTACAATCCCTACAAATTTATCATTCCCCTTTTTTTCATTCATATGTCAAGACTATTTATTCCATCCTTTTGAAACTTATGAAGTCCACAGAGTAGCACTAATCCTAGTTAGATGCCCAAAATTGTTTTCAAGTCCTGCCATCTTGGCCATAACTATTCCTTTTATACACACACCCAAACTCACCAACCAGGTTCCTGGGTACTTGTACAGAGTCCTCAGAAAATTCCAGGTAGCTTCGAGCTTGTCGGCATGCCTCAGGCGTCTATAGAAAGCAAAGAGTAAACTAAAACAGAACCTGGATCTCTCTGCCATTCGATATTTGGCAGGGAGGTCACCATAGCTCAGATTAGCCTTCCACCTTACCCTCTATCCCCTCAGTCCCCCAAAGGAACAAATGACCCATCTTTGGCTGACCTCCCCATAGATTCGGAAAGTGCAGGTCTCTTCACCCAACTCAATGGCAGTCACTCCTGGCACTTTTCGAGCCTGCTGGATGTTGGCACCATGTGTTCCAATTGCCAGGCCCATTAAGTCCTCTCTCACTGTAAACTCCTCTTGGAACGCTGCCGCCAACTGCTTACTTGTCTGAAAGAAAAGGCATTGTGAAGCTCAGAACATGTGTCCCAGTTGTCTAGTCCTTTATAGTTTAAGCAAGGGGAAAGTATGAAGAAAACCAGAACCACCTGTAGTCTGCTAGCCTCTGAGCCCCGCACAGAAATCTCAGGCACCTTTAATACCAGGGCTTATGGGCAGTGATTAACTAATAAGGGCAGTTTAAGCTAGATGCCATCAAAGTTCAAGATCTGTCTCTAACACTAACTGGTTGAATGGTCCTTAACAAGATACACCCTGTGTGAGTCTATCATCTGACAAGTCCTCACAGCTGACCTACTCTCAAGTTAGCAAGAATACTATTCCTCTTTTGAGCCCTTCCAACTCTCAGGAGTTCACTTTTCACTAATAAACCAATGTTTATTGCTTTAAAAAATTGACAGACAACAGGTGTTGGTGGCGCACACCTTTAATCCCAGCACTCGAAAGGCAGAGGCAGGCAGATCTCTGTGAGTTCGAGGCCAGCCTATTCTCCAGAGTGAGTTCCAGGACAGGCCCCAAAGCTA